CGGCCGACAAGGGGGCCGGGCAAGAATGACGCCTACCGAACAAAGGTAGCCCGAGACGGGTCCACGCAGAGGCCGGCCCGTCAATGCGCCAGTGGTTTTATTGCACCGCCGGCGTTAGGCCTACTGTTGGCCAAGCACAACACGGTTTTTCATTCCTTGGCCTCCCCCCGACCAGGCCACCCTCCTTCCAAATTATCACGGGGAGGCTTGCAAAAAAGGCCCAAACGGGCCCACGGGGTGCCCGGCTTTGTCCACTGATTATTTTTGTCCGGTTCACTTTTGGAGCGTCTATCAAAATGAGAATGGTGGTTGGGCAATACCGCGAGAACCGCTTTTGCAATGACACAACTAACGTTGCGTGCACATGTATTTGTGTGACAACTCCCCGCTGTTTGCTTTGACCTGAATGAGAGACACGGTACAGAAGCCAAGCCGTGGGTCATACACGTCTCCCTTGGAATCTATTTAAAGTACTCTGCACAGCTAAACACGAACGAAAATGTCACTCTAAAAGAACATCGCCGATTTATTTTAATGCGTCCTCAGTCTTGCTTACAAGATACCACACTGAAGACGAACAACGGATGTGGTCCATCACCATTTGCGTGAAAAAATCAAAGGTCGTACTAAAATAAGGAAGGATATGAACCTGTGTAGCGTTCATGCGTGAACATAGAGTTTTTATGAAATCATCAATATTTGAATTAACACATACATTTATACACGAGAACAATCATGCATGGCAATTTAAAATTTGTCCACTATGCAAGCTCTACAAAATTAATAGTTTTAAAGTATAGATCATCCGATTTCGTCTTTCTGGTTTGCGTTTTCTATCTTTAAACATTTGTTAGCGGGTTGCTGTTATATGTATTTCTCCACTTAGCATTCAAGGACTTTAACTATTAAATAAGCAATCGAAGCTGGTTTTGAAGGTGAGGGCGACTTCTTTCTAATCTCCGTTTCAGCATGTACTGCAGCCATCCGCCGTGGTTTGGGAATTCCTGCGGTGTCGGACATTACTCGGAGCGCCTCCTCCGTTTCGATTTCTCTCGATGCGTTATTTATGTACAACGATGCTCAGTTATTTCTCGCTGGGCGGCTAAAATTCGACAGCATTTCCATCGTTACGACTGGATTTCTCTTTTGTGAGAGGGGCCAATCGTTCCTGTATACATGTATTCCCAGGCTGTAATAAAACCCATTACACCGTGACCTAGCCGCGACCATTTATCACTGATAATGGCGCTCCAGGATTCGTATAAATCGACCGTCTTATAAAACATCCTTTTCTCCTTCTTTCTTTCTCTCTTCTTTCCCTTTCCTCGCTTGGTTCCACCTCATGACCCCGATGGACATGCTGCCGACCGGTCCCCTTTGTCACTTTGAGGATTCTCCAAGTGAATGATCATTAAGAAAGAAAGCCAGCCCCCCCCCAAATGCCGTTCAATGGACCTGTTTGCATCAAAACGCGCATACCGCGAGGAGGGGGGGGGCAGCCCTTACCGCCGGATAGGGTATGAGTCTCCCTCGAGACTGACGGTACAAAGAGACAGGGGTCGTCACTCAATGATAAACGCCAAGACGGCAGCAAAGAAGAGGACTGGAATTATAGATGACTTTATGATCCTTGGTTGGACCTCTAATGACCGCTATAAAGAAGTCTAAGCAGAAAATGGTTTCCTGAGACATTGGCTGTAACACTGGCTTCCCACGAAGACCCTTCGCCCCCCGCCCCCCCCAAATAAGTACATATGGACACAATGAAATGAGAGGAAGAACCGTCTCAACATATTCACGCAGGTTAACATTCAAGAACAATTTCGACAAAAAGTTCTGAATGTTTACATTCATAACATTAACCTGTATCACGATCGAAGCATTTAATGCAGTTGGTGCAATATACGGACATCTTGTAATGAGCATATCTGACTGAAATTTCAACATCAGTTCTGAGATGACTTGCAAATAAAGCGACATTTTAGCTACAACATGCTAGAGAATACCGTCCTTTGTATTCAACTTCAGAATATCGTTACACTACTCCGGTGCACTGTACATTTATAGCTAATGTATACCTAAGTGGTTATACAGGCCGCTACAGTAAAACAATATCGATCAAGTAAATGAGTTACTTATCTCGATAGGAGTATATCTCATGTTAATCGATGTATACGTGCATTTCAATTCGCTGATACTGATTTTAAAGTAAGTAGTCCCTCCATGAACCCGGCACGTGAATTTCCGATGAGTAATTCCTGCTGCTGAGGAAAAAACCCTCCTTCAAACTCTTCTGATGCAAACACAATATTTAATTGTGCCCCAAATGCGATGAATAATTGAATAGTTCAATTTCATCGAGGCACATTGCGTAAAGTCCGTGCACTCAACAGAATAACCCACTTGGGACCGGCGCGATACAGGCGAAACGTCGGTGAAGCATTCATGGCAGTACAATAGTGCCCAGTCCACACGCACGAAACCGATAAAATTTTCTCAAATTTTCTGAATGTACTGCTTGGCCATGTACGGTTCACACATCAAAAGCACTTCATGTACCACATTTGTGATCATTTGTTTTTGACAGTGGGGATTGTAAGATTTGATTGATGCTAAAATTATCATTTTATAATATAGGCAAGAAGCTGAATACGGTTTAAACCCATTCCTAGATGTATCAACTGATGTAATTTGTTTAGAATTAATTTCATTGGTAGATCATTCCCGACTGAAAATGGGTTTCAAAGGGGAATATTTCCGATGACACCCAAATAGCAACTGAACTGGTGCAGAAAAGACTGCACCGCGAAATGTCTTCGATTGCACACTTTCTTGCTATTAGTTTGAAATTAAAATTATTGTAGTATATTAAGAATACAAATAAAAGTAAGTAGGGTATTTAGCCACTCATTTATATCGTGTTGAAAGTTAGCTTTTATTTTTTGGCCCACCGTTAGTTTGAAAAAATAACGCAAGTGGTATTTTTAGTGTTTATTTTCAGCTTTAAAAATGGTTTCTTTAATTTAAGTCTCTTCGGCATGAAATTGACACGGTGAAATAACGTGTGTTTCTGGTAATGGGCATTATATAGGCTCATGTCCTCTATTTTGAAGAGAATATTATATAATTCCGAACTACAAATTAAAATCCACTCAATGTCGGGACCGTAAGCCAAGACTTAAAACCTTTCGGTTAGTCGTCAAGCTAGCTTTCTGGGTAAATCTCTGAGTATAATGCTTTTTTCATTAAGCGTCTGGTAATTACATGTAATCCTAAATTGCCTGGTCTTAAGAACACACTAAAAAGATAAATCATCTTAGGTCATTTCCCGCCGGACTCGCCGTCCAGCTCTTTAGACGATAACCCCCTCAAATCCCATCGACAAAAGAAAACAATTTTCAAATCATCAGAAGGGCTTAAATAACAGCCCTGTCGGGCGATCGGCCAGCTGATACCCTACGGACCCCGGCACACGCGCCGCGGGCCGGCCATCGCGCGCGCCACCCCCCCCCCCCGAAAAAACACAGACACGACGATGTACGGCAAAGCCTAGCATAATCGCCCTTCGAGGTGACTTCCTAATTACTATGCAAATACAATGACAGTTGTAATTAGCTGGGTATATAGATGTTACTATTATTAACACCTTTTGGTCGAGCAGAGAAAATGACCGAGTAGGATCACCCTGCACGGCCGATTACCGCTTCTTTTCTGGTCAAACTTAACGTGGTAAGTCTTTTAACGGACATCGGAAATGAGGTTCAGTTAATAAGGAAACCAGACTGACTTATGATTGCCTATTGTTGTCGAGTACATTGCGTAAAGATCGTTGACCCATTTTTCTGAAGAGTCAACTTTTGACAGCTAACTTCTCCAAAGTGAAGTCACGTTTGTAATGCGACTAATCAAACAGAGGACAAGCCACCGTTCCACATATGCCAACTGCTACTTGAATCCTGTCCATGTTGAAAAAGAAAAAAATATGTGGAGATTTCTTTTCGGACTTCAAGTACTACACGTGTGAATATCGATGGACAGATGCTTGTGTTGAATCAACAACAGCAGAGTAAGTAAGCCCAAGGCGCGTGTGAAGTATGTCAGACGGCGCCATTTTGCTTACGAATTTTCATGGCAAAAATAATCACCCAAACTAACACACTGATCCTTTTTGGTGACAGAAACTTCAATATTGCCGTAAAATGTGGTGGTTTTCAAGCTCCACCTCGCACCACACCAGTGGGTCTTGTGTTTGATTGTTTGTCCCCGATCAAGGAATTCAATAAGCGCTTCTGTAATGCACCGCGTCGTGGTCTGTGGCAAAAACGGTGCTCACCCGCAATGGTCGTGTGCACGATGTGGGCATATGCATATTTACCGTCCAGTTCCCCTAAATGTTCTGACCAAGATGATTTAACCAGTTGTTGAACCTAGCTAACACCATCGGGGATAAGTTTCACCGAGTTGTCTTGAAAACACATGCGTAACTAATAACAAAATTATACATTTTCCTTCCTTAATACTGACGGCTCCAACTTTTAACACGATGGTTAGCAAATTCTCCTTACCAGAAATAGTGTTGTCGTCGGTTCATCAAATTTTAAGGGAAGTTTGAGCTAAATTACATTTGTAATGAGATAGTCTAATGGAGATTTTATGCGAAAGTAGCTCCAAATGTGGACAAAATGGTTTGTATTTTTAACCATTTGAGCAACGCATGTAAGTCCAAACATTAAAATCGCGTTTCCCAAATTCTTGGGCCCAAAAATCTAGGTTCTAATGAGAAACCAGTACAGCCTTGATTTGTACATGTCTGGGATGGTTTCTCTGGCTCCAAAACCACGCTATTTCAATTGTGAATAGCTTTTGCTTCGAAGCTTGAATTTAGGCCTACTTTGACAAAAACACACAATAGAGACTAGCCAGAGGAAGGAGGTTTTAGACAAAACCATACCTGTCACCCCTGAGCCCAGCAAAATACCGAACATCATTCTTCCACTCACCTGCCGGCTTTGGTGATGATCATCTCCGTGCCGATCTCGTAGAATTTCTGCCAGAGTTCGCGGCCCTCCAGCGTGACCTTGATGTCCTTGGCAGGGGAGTTGGACACGGAAAGGTCCGGCTGGCGCATGACGGCGGCTGCCGCCATCATCTGCTGGGTAGCCGCGGCCGCGGCCGCCGACTTATGGTCGTTAGCCCCCGGGAGAGGGGTGAAGTCCCCAAAATGGGAGCTCCTTTCTGTGGAAGATGGGGGAGGGGAATTCACTATCGCATCAGAAAAGTATGGCCGTGAAATAAACCTTGTGAACCGACCCCAACGCAATGCATAGTCTGAGACCTTTCCTAAAGTAACTCAATTTTAGTTTGCATTAGAGCTTTCTGAGCTCTTTGTTTTAATTTATCGCTCTGATAAACATTCTGGATAAAAATGGACAGTGAGCAGGTAGACGCTGTTGCGGGATCCTATAATTAACATCATACTATAGATTCTCTTTAAGTCCTTCGTGTAGAGTCACAATTAAGAAGGGACAAGCTTTGGCCTTTCATTATGAAATACGTAGGCCCTATCTCAGTGTTACGGTAATGCAGGACCACACAGTAGGACAACGGACCTGTGTTAGTCCTCGCCAAAGAACGACATGCAGGTATAGGTGCCTTTTTCAAACTCTTCTATTGGCTTAAGGGTAGTTGTTCAATTCTATGTTATTTTTTTTTGTCTAATATTTTTCCAGGGGATTTCTGTTTTGAATCTTATTTCACTACTTCTATACCCTTTTCCCTTACTGGTAAATGCACGTTGAAAAAAATTCTGATGTGCGTTATCCCCGATAAAAATAAGAGTGACTCTCCCGAAAGGTAAGACAAACTTACGTTAAATGTCATTAGAATTTCAAGACATGAACTAGCTTTGCCGGCAGTACTGCGTATGAAAACAAAGAGATTTGCCAAGTTCAATTTCAGAGTTTTCAAACCCAAACTGCGCAGTGTAATTAGCCCTTTAGGCTTAGGAGGAAAGGCATACGGTACAAAGTCATGTTCTGTCGGGAAGATACATGTAAAGTCCAGTGAGGACCGAGCGAGTGGCTTAGAGGTTCTGTTACGGTAATGCAGTCATCAGTCATAGGATATGCATAGCCACTGAGCGATTGGTCTATGGCTTGGGCTCAGCGTGGCTCTTGCCACGTTCACCGTGCACACTTCATTAACCTAATTACTATGCGGTAACAATTAAGAGTAGAGCTGTGCCTGACAAATTCGGTGAATTTATCTGTTTGAAATTGTAACGAGTGAGAGGTCATCAAAATGTCAAATAAAGATGATATCATTCGTGTATTAAAAATTAAGTTATCGCACTAAGTTATTGTGCTTAGACGATTTGTGAGACTGGCTCTAGCTACAGTGGGTTTGCATTGCCGGCCGCCACATTACATTACAGATTGAAGGCATTAGCCGTGTATAAAAGGACGACTGGATTCCAGATTGCGAGTACTCGGTTTCCCACTTACCTTGACCTTGCATGCAAACAGTAACTTACCTGATTTGGAAGGAACGGCCAAAATGAAAATTGCTTTTGTGTGTGTTTATTAGTTAGCTAGTTTTTGCTTGCTTTCAGAGGGTTTTAATTATAATATTAGGATTATAAATACTGGACTTTCTTATAACATGCCAGTTCTCGTGACAGATAAAATGACGAGTGAAGTGATCCACCTGCCTTATTGTTTTGCTAAGATTAAGGGTTACCATTATTATTCAAGACTTTGGTTACCTGCAACACTGAAGAGGGAAATAAATTTAAATTCTAAGCATCCCGGAACTTTGATGACTTTTTTAACAATTTTCTTCTTCATTAGTGTTATGCGGCTGATCGTTAATTTCTTCCATTTGATAATCATATGAAAACGTATGGTAACAGATAAAAAGACATTTTGGTGAATTTTTAAAACACCAACAAAAGGTCGGTGTCCGTTTGCTGCGTAAAAATTAAGAAACAGACTGACTGCGCATAAATCTGAGATATTAAAATTGCGAATAATCTTCTTGGAATTTAATTCATATCAATACTCAATTCACTTTTGTGAAAAACAGTACTTATGATTCAGCGTTAACCCACTAGATGCAAGCCTTATACACTAAACTTTAAGAATTTACATACAAAAAACTGTTCAGAAGTCAAATTTTCAAAGGGTAAACGGGCAAATATTTTGTTTCAATAAAAAGAAGTCAAATCAATGTGCTCAAATGGAATTTGGTTCATGCACAGTAATTGAACCCATTTTTCTGGAATTGCTTCAAATTGGCCATAGCGTAAACCGTAATATTGGACACCGCAGACTGGCAATCAACCCAGATAGGTTTCAAGCTTCAAGCCATTGCCGTTTGTCCCTCTTCTCCTTTTTTTCCCTTTGACATCCCGAACCACCAAAGAACCACGAAAATTAATTTCATAGCACGTGCCCCATGTAAGCCAATTACGACATGTCGGGATTGGTTAATGCCGCGGCGAGTTAAAAAAAAAGTCCCCGGGACGGACTGCCGCAGGCAGCGCACGCCGCGGCTGCCCCGTACGGAGAAGACGGCCGGGTCTACGGCGGGGAAGTTTGCATTTTCCGGTCAGCCATCAGCGATAGAAGTAGGTCAAAGAGAAAAACGAACGTACTTTTGAAAAGCATGTGTATAAGAGTGTGACTCCAGAAGCTTGAGGAAAACGCACATCGGGGCAATAATTCTCCCCAACGGTTTGGCTTTTCAACTTATTCCTAAATGGAGATTTTTTCACATAATATAGCTATTTATTTCAGAATATAAAAAAGGCCAAAAATTCTATTTGGCGTACACAAAACGAAAAGTTAACGATGTTGAACTCCTCATGAGCAAACAATGTTAAACATCGTTCAATGGAAAAAAAGATGACACCTACAAACAACAACCATGGTCAGCTGAATATTTATAGTTTAATCTACATTTTAAACTTCGTGCTTTGTACAATTTTACGCCCATAAAATGAGTATAATAAACGATTTTATTCGTTAAAATAATATTTCAATAGATGGATCGTCATGATGTAAATGATAAGCTACCGTACATCACTGGACGTAGTTTGCGAATTTATAGATATGGGCTAGGCATAAACGAGCTCACGAATGGATGGGGATGTTATTCTATCATTTTGAAAAAAAAAAGTCCAAAAAGAAGAAATTGTCAGTTTTCATTGAGCCCGATGAATTACCGCTTCCGAAATTCACTTGTACCGTCCAATGGATAATCTTCACATAGAGTTATCCGGATAACTTTGTTTGGAATTTAGTTTGGTCAGGAAACTTCTGCTCTGCGACATCGTTATTCTAGACTAGAAGAGCTGCACAAGGGGGAGAGAGCCTTCTTCTATTGTATCACAATTCATGAAATCTCTCTGGCCACCGCTGATGTTTTTTTAATCTATAGATAACCCAACGTGCACAACGAGACTGACAATTCTGTTTGGGGACTCAAAAGTGTTTGGACTCTGTAAAAATCAAAAGGGCGTGAAGGTTTGCCGAGTGTTAAAGTGACGGTGAGCAGAGTGGGAGCTAAGACTAGACACAGAAGAGACAAACAAAACACGTTGCCAAAAGGCTGAAGCGACATACCTGAGAAGGACAGACCGTTGTGGTTAGGCGGCTGCATTGGCAGTCCAGGGTACGGAAAACTCCGAGGTGGCGGCGGCACAATGCTGTTAAGGGCAAAGGCGTGTGCCCTAGCCCGCTGGCTGATGTAGTCTTCACTTCCTTCGTACATCATACCTGCGACAAGCCCGAGCCAGGCGACAAAATCGAAGGGCTGGCGACGAAACTAGCGAGTGGTCTGAAAAGCCGGGCCTCCGCGTACGGGTAAAAAAACACGCCTATTCAGTTCCCGACTAGCCCGAGCTGTTGTGTGGTCCGCAGTGGCTGATGCGCCGGAGATATAAAGTCCGTGCCAAAGCGTTGATGGGTCTGGTGGACACCAATTAAAGACTTATTATTTGGCGAGTATTTCCTGGGACTGTGCTCACACGCGCACGGGCAGGCCCTTCCCCCTCTCGGCGAATCGGCCGCTCTGCGTCATGGGCAGGCCGGCCGCTGATTGGCCGGTCGGCCTGCCAATCAGCGGGCCCCGCGCGGCCCGTCGTCCCGGGCACGGGGGGCGCCGCCCCCCGTATTTACTCAAGGTGTTCGCCGGGTGTTGGGAGCAGAAACTGCGCGCACAAAAGCGACAATTTTCGCAAGGGGGGCTCTTTGTTGGTCGCGCTTACCTCTTTCTTGTTTGTTTGAGTCGGATTTTCCGGTATAACACGCGCATTTAGAAGCTGAGTAAACCCCTGTCTTGGTTTTGCATGGGGTTCAACCTGAACGTCTCCCTGATAGGACCCTGTGATAACATTCTCCCGGAGAAGAATATTTCCAGAACTCTGATAGCTGCCGCCGTGTAATCGTCACGCGTATCGGCGCACGCCCACTTGTTTGTTCAACATTTAGCAGACAGACAAAAAAGTAGGCCAAGAATCTTCAAGTAACTCGATCAATACATGACTTGGGTGCACCGTGAAAATGACAAGCTCCGTCAAGACCAAGATGAACTTCAAACCACACTGATGAATGTTTGTGGTCGCTTACAATATATCCATGTCATCAAAACTCATGTACCCGGCCGCAAAACACGTAACGATTCATTTTGCAATTTTTCTCTGACCAATATTCATTCTTTCAGAAAATATTCAATATGGTGTAGCGATTGTCTTTTTTTTTGGGGGGGGTGTTTGTTTGGGTTTCGATTTTGGTTTTGCAAATTCAAAAAATAACGCCACAAGCAAAGTGTTTACTGTCTTCTCTTCATTTGAATATTTCGGTGCTGTGGTGAAAAAGTTGAACACTTTTTTCCTAGGGTAAACCTGCTTAATCCACCTGGTTAAAAATGGACATGTTGTTATCGAATCAGAGAGAAATACACCTGGTTAGACGGTTGCAAAATAAGCAAAAGCCAGACTTCATTTCCTTTCCACATTAGTTCCACAAAAAAAGAATAATTTAGAGGTGCTTGGTCTTTATTTAATTCTCATAACCATTGGATTTACGAAGCCCAAATTGTGAAATAATGTTCACGGGGGGGGGGGTTTCTATGCATTCCATTCGAGCCGCCAGAACAGACCATGAATAATGTATCGGGGCAAGTCATGGTTTCCCATTGCCAATCAATTTGTCCTGGGTCCACATGTAGAACGACAAGTAGGCCTATACTTGCTGTTGTTCAGGCTGTTGTTTTAAAGGGCAGATTTTGGCCGCTCCGTCGTGCATCATTTGCTAGTCATGGAGAGACGAGCCCGGGTTATCATCGACACGCTCCACTGGCCAGGGCCTGATCGGCAAGACCGCAAAAAGCGCCGCGTTGCCGGCGTGGACTCGCGGAGTCCCGCGCGGTGGTGCCGACAGAGAAGGCTCAAGTGCGGGCCGCTGTCATTCGAGTAGCGCTCACGAATAATGCATGCAGCTATGATTTTCGCTTACTGTTGCAGTTGCTGGAGACGTGAAAATGAGTCACGATTGTGCTTTTTAAAGTGGATATATGTATGTTCAAAATTTAATGTGAAATTGCCTAGACGGAAAGACACTTTTACACTTAATTAGCAATAAGGTAAAATTATTTCAATGTGTGAATATGATTCGCATTGTGCTCGTTTCTTTGCCCGATCCTTCAAGCATGTCAGAAGCTTGACGCAATTGACACTTACAGGACAAGCAGCCTCGTGATTTGAACTTTGGGAAAACCGAGATGTGCACATTTATTTCATGTTGAAAGGTGGCGCCAGAAAAATCCTGGCCATCGTTTACAGCAATAAAAGAAATTTTAAAGGGTATTAAAAAGTTTTATTCAAACGTCACAATGTTTAAAACAGAACCACAAAGAAAAGGCAAGACAAAGAGTTCTACTGTGCTGTCGTATTCTCTGAGTATAATATGGGCACAGATTATGGAGTACGGCAAAAGGTACCAGACTATTTCCTTGCACGCTACTGACGTTGATCTAGTCATTCTGAGGAGACTCGGGTGAAAGAGCCAAAACAGTTGAGCTATGGCTATGGCTTTCTTTGATGTTATGACAGTAGTCGCTTCGAAAATCGGGCTCCGGCAAATTGAGCCGTAGTCTCCTAACCAGTCGGTATTCAACTACGATGCTGCGAGCGGCCTGAATCCAGGAGGAAAAGGGAAATATGAGCATTTGAACAGGCTAAGTAAAAAGACTATCAATGAACTAAGAACTGCTTCATTAGTCACCAAAATGCTTCCCTTTCGTCAAGAGGTCAGGATCACTGAACCCCCTCCCATCGACGGTGTTGGCGGTTTTCATCATTCAAACATCGTTGACGTTGGAGCTTGTCTGTGAACCGATACATGCTCTTCAGGCTCAGTGTCAACAGCTTCTCCATGAAGAAGCATAATGTGCGTGTATATAGGTGACATCCTACGTCTTGCCAGCGGCCCGCCAGTAATGATAACCCGGAGCCCTTCACGCCTTGCCTTGTCCGGTTGTGGTGGTGGCTCCACTTCAACAGATTGCCCGTACTGCGTCCCAAGCTTTTTTCATCCGTCCTTCTTACTCGCTGTCTATTCCCCCAGCCGCTCCGGCCAGTATAAGGTTATTAAATCACAGCTTCACCAGGATAATTCTATTTCAAGCAGAGTGATAAAGTCGCCCCCGCCTTGCGAGATGGCTGCTGTTTCAGTAGCCAAGTGCGGGGGGGGGTTAGAAATAATGCACCAGCGTCATAGACGAGTTGGTTAGTGTCTTACTATATACTGGGGATATCGAGACTCCTCCAGAGAGCATGCGAACCGCTACCGTGTAGCAGAACAAAATGCCGGGAGTGTATTGGCGCTCACGAACGTTGCTCTCCGCTGCCCGTTCTTCAGTTGCGCCTCATCATGACAGAGGTGCCGGCGGCGCATGGTGAAACCTGCGGGGAAAGGAACGCAGTGAAGATACCAACACCGAACCTCATACGCGGCTGTGCCTGTGTTGCATGTATTCCCGCGGGCACGGTGGCTCGACATTGAGCATGCGGTGTACGTGAGCGCAGTGGTGACGCCAGACTATGTGCGTCGCACGAGATCTGCGGAACTTGATTGCTGGGTCTGACTTGTAAAGAATTCCCGTCTGCCTTAGAGTCGTGAGAAAAAAATATGGAGTGAAAGAAGGGGGAGAGTAGACCACTGATGCGTACTGAATGCTGTAGACTACATTGTGTAGGCTCAATTGGTTTCTTAGAGTGAAAAAAAATGTTTTTTTTTTATTGATATTTTTTATACCGAGACTGTTATTTGCGATCAAGATCTAAAACAAACATGCTTCACCGTTTATACGAGCACTAGTCCTGAACTAAACACGGTGTGTGCTTGGCCGACAATGCCTTCACGCAAGCGTGGGCCGGCCGTAAAGTCTCAAGCCAGTCTCTCTTGTATTACCGCGAGATGGTAACCGGGAAGAGAGTCTGGAAGGAGAAGAATAGCCTGACTACCCGATTTCTCTTTACAATAACCGTGTAAATAAACACTGAGAATCAAAGAATTAACCGAGGAAGGGCCACGGGCACGCCCCCCGTGAGCCTGCAATTGTTATGGAGGACGGGCCTGAGCTTCGTGTTGAGCCGAAGCCCAGCCAGTGCGGCGCCTGTCCCCCGTAGTCAGGCCAAACAACAGTTTACCTGCTCGAAAGGTGGGGGACATTACAAAAGCAACGATAGATTCTACCCGTCCTTGCTCTGCAGGTTTTGACTCTCGGTTCAAAATTTTTTATTTGTTTTTTTTTCCTGCCAAAGAGTTTCTGCAGACGTCACCAGCGCACCTTCGCCGCATGCACAGACAACGGACATGTATATCATATCACATGTGGTTTCGAAGATTTTTGGTGACGGATTTCAAGGGTAGCTGCAATCACAAACCGTCAAAATGAAGCTTTGTGTGTCAGTTAAACTTATTTTCGTCCTTTGTTTCGTAATTTCAAAGGCAGTTTTATTATCTTGTCTGTTTTATGCTAATGATATTTGCATATTCATATGCAAAACTGTGATGTCATCCCAGGAAGAACGCCTTAGTGTTGCATTGGTTTGTACACAAAAATGTCCTGCAGTTTTGTAGATTTTTCTGGACTAACTTTTCTCATCTGGCTGGATTCATTGTTGTTTGTGTGCAATACGTAAGCATCAATCCCTTTCTCGGAAATGTTTTCAAGAAATATATTTTGGGTTCACAATTTGAACAGAATAACCTATGCATTGAACTTTGTCTTCCCTGTATGACATCACTACAACAGCGCCCTCGGCAGAACGTGGATAATTTTAATTTAAGTGTTTGAAAAGGTGCACTTTTCAATGTATTTAACCAAAAGGGAATAATACATTCATACTTTGAAGCAGAAAAATTGTCAAAGAAAAATCAATTGCATCTATACTTAAACGTTGCCTGCAACTCATGCCAAAGGATACGGTGACGCTATCCTCGCCTCGTTTGAAATGCCAGTGTGCGGCGTTGATCAAAGTTGTTGCCAGAAGTCTTCAACACTCATTTAGTGGAAGAAGAAAGTGCGTGTCATATTCGGGCAAAATTTCAAATAAAATTGCGTCTCAAATATACTTAATTGGACCCACGTCAATAAACTACGCCCCACGATGAATAAATTGCCCTGTGTGGAAATATGCCGTCTTTCGTGTAGGTATCACGGTGTGTATTGAATTAGTGGTTTTTCATGATCAGATGATGGGTCATTCCTTAACTGCTCTGACCCTTGTTTGTGTGATCCATCTAAGGAAGAATACAAGAGACTGTGAATCAGAGGTAAGTTCCAGCCCCGTTCAGCCTCTTCTAACAATGGGGTCCGCGAGGGCCGTGTCGCCGTTCGAAGGTTAACGCGCTCGTTGCCGGGCTTTGGGCATTCATGAGACAAAGTACTCCCTGCCTGAACGCTGTTTATACCCATTCACCGCCCCGAAG